TCCGTCCCTCCCCCCGCCCCCGCTCTTCTTGGTACCAGGTCCCCCCCCGGTAGACCCCCTCCCCCCTCAAGGTCCTGCCCCTTCAGGTGTGTCCCAGGTAGACGCGGTCGAGCCTGTCGAGGTCACTGGTGACTCTGGTGCTGCTGCGGGAGCTGAGCCTGGGGGTGCTGAGACTGGAGGTGCTACGCCTGCGGGTACTGAGCCTGGGGGTGCGGAGTCTGGAGGTGCTGGGCCTGGGGGTGCTGAGCCTGGAGGTGCTACACTTGGGGGTGCTGAGCCTGGGGGTGCGGAGCTTGGAGGTGCTGAGCCTGGGGGTACTGAGTCTGGGGGTGCTGAGCCTGGGGGTGCTGGGCCTGGGGGTGCTGAGCCTGGGGGTGCTGAGCCTGGGGGTGCTGGGCCTGAGGGTGCTGAGCCTGGGGGTGCTGAGACTGGGGGTGCTACGCCTGGAGGTGCTTCGTCTCGTCGAGAGCCACTCTCCCCACAGGAGCTGCGTGAGTGGTTTGCCCGGCGCTGGAGGCGTGCTGCTGGTGCTGGAGGTTCTTCGGCTGCAGAGGGTACTACTGCCGAGCGTCCCGGAGGTGCTCGTACTGTGGGTGCTGGAGCTGCTGGGTCTGAGGGTTCTCCTGGAGCTGGTGCTGCTGAGGGTGTTGGCGCTGAGACTGCCGCTGACGGTCCGACTGGCAGTGCTCCTGGTGGTGCTGATGGAGGTTCTGGAGCTACTGGAGGTGCTGCTGGAGGTGCTACTGGAGCGGGTACTCCTGCTGGGGGTACTGGTGCTGTCCCTGCTGTTTCTGGCGTCGCCGCGCGGCCCCGACCGTACTTCGTTCCGCTCCTGCAGCAGGTTCTTGGTCTTACACCTTCTCCTGGTCCTCCTCCTCCTCCCTTAGAGGGTCCACAGCCTGTCTCGTCACAGTCACAGCTACAGCCTGCCTCCCCTTTGCCTGCTCCTTCTCCCTACGCTGGTCCGACTGGAGGTCTTACTGAGCGTCGTGAGCCTGCGTCTCGTCCTGCGTCGCCTGTTCGTACTGCGCGCGCTAGTGGTCGCGGTTCGCGTCAGCGTCCTCCTCCTGTCCCTGGCACGCACCGGATGTCTCTGCGTCCGTCTACTGCTCCCCTGCGTGCCCCTTTGCCTTCTCCTCCTGCTTCCTCTCTTCCTGCTCTTCCCGACCCGGAGTCGGACTCTCTTCGTGCTGCTAGTCCCACTGTCACGCGTCTCCTTGCTACTGCTGTCACTGACCCTTCTTTCGAGTCTTCTGCTGCGTCTGCCCTTGTCACTGAGCTCGTCGACTTTGCTGCGCGCTGTCATCTAGACTACACTGCTAGTCTTGTCGCTGAGTCTGAGTCTGCCTGTCCTCCGTCCGTCGGGGGTGAGTGTGCCCTAGGCACGGACGTCCTTGAGGACAGGCAGGAGGAGTTCCAGTGTCTGGCCGCCGCTTCACCTCATCTCGCGTCTGTACTGCTAGCCCCTGAGGGAGACCCGGGTGCACTAGACATCCCGACTCCGCGCTCTTACGCGGAGGCGATAGAGGGTCCCTACTCCTCTCAGTGGCAGGCAGCTATGGATGCAGAGATGGCTTCCTGGAAGTCCACAAGCACCTACGTTGACGCAGTTCCCCCTCCTGGGGCGAACATCGTCAGTGGCATGTGGATCTTCAGGGTGAAGCGGCCGCCGGGTTCTCCGCCTGTCTTCAAGGCGCGTTACGTGGCTCGTGGCTTCAGTCAGCGGCAGGGGGTTGACTACTTTCAGACCTTCTCCCCCACCCCGAAGATGACCACTCTTTGGGTACTGCTGCACGTTGCTGCTCACCGTGACTACGAGCTGCACTCTCTCGACTTCAGCACAGCTTTCTTGCAGGGCAGCCTACACGAGGAGATTTTGCTGCGTCGCCCACCTGGCTTCACTGGGTCTTTCCCTCCTGGTACCCAGTGGAGTCTCCGGCGTCCAGTCTACGGTCTCCGCCAGGCGCCACGTGAGTGGCATGACACACTGAGGACTACGCTGGCGGCACTTGGGTTTGCTCCTTCTACTGCCGACCCGTCGCTGTTTCTGCGCACCGACACCTCTCTGCCGCCGTTCTACGTGTACGTCGACGACTTGGTCTTTGCCACAGCTGACACTGCCAGACTCGCCCACGTGAAGTCCGAGCTGCAGAAGAGACACACGTGCACTGACCTGGGTGAACTGCGCAGCTACCTTGGCTTGCAGATCACCCGGGACAGAGCATGCCGCACCATTACCCTGACTCAGTCACACATGGTGCAGCAGGTCCTTCAGCGCTTCGGCTTCACGTACTCCTCGCCTCAGGCCACTCCTCCGTCTACTCGCCACTCGCTCTCAGCTCTGCCTTCGGATGAGTCCGTAGAGTCAAGTGGCCCGTATGCAGAGCTTGTTGGCTGCCTCATGTACCTGATGACCTGCACACGACCTGACCTTGCATACCCTCTTAGCATTCTCGCACGCTATGTTGCTCCTGGGAGACACCGACCAGAGCACATGGCTGCAGCGAAGAGGGTGTTGCGCTACTTGTGCAGTACGTCGGGCATGGGGCTAGTGCTTGGAGGGCGGAGTCCAGTGGTCCTCACTGGGCACGCGGACGCTTCTTGGGCTGACGACCAGGCTACGCAGCGGTCGTCACAGGGTTACACCTTCAGCCTTGGTTCCGGCTCTGTTTCGTGGCGGGCTACCCGCTCGTCTTCTGTTCTCGGCTCCAGTTGTGAGGCTGAGATCTACGCCGGGGCTATGGCTGCACAGGAGTTACGCTGGCTCACCTACCTGTTGACCGACCTTGGAGAGCCGCCTCGTTCTCCTCCAGTCCTGTACGTAGACAACAAGGCCATGCTGGCCTTGTGTCGAGAGCAGCGACTGGAGCACAGGACAAAGCACATTGCTCTCCGCTACTTTCTTGCTCGTGAGCTGCAGCAGCGTGGACAGTTGCGACTTGCGTACGTGGCCTCTGAGGCCAACACTGCTGATGTCTTCACCAAGGCACTTGCGCCTTGTGATCATCAGCGTTGCTGCACGCAGCTGGGCCTTGTGCCTGTCTTGCCTAACTTGCTCACTTCTTGACCTTGCTAGTACCTTGACCTATATATACTCTTGCTCTTGCTTGCTTGACTCTTGTATATCTCTATATATGGTCTTGCATGTGAACTGGCCTTGTGGCCCTTGAACTTGTGCTCGGAATGTGTGGTGACTTTGTGATCCACCCTGAGCTTTGCTTTGTTTTGCTTGACTGGTCTTGTGACCCCTTGTTCTCCCCCACTTTGCCTATCGGGGTGTGTCAGAATATTATAGCTTACTTATTTCTGTAGGCCATAGTGGGGTATCCCATAAGGGGTACAACCCAACTAGGGTTTCCTATTTGTACTCACTTCATTCATAGTCATTTCATTCACGTTCCTTTTTCACACTATTCTGCGACAACCAATCTGCAATTCGCATCGCCAACAAAAGCGGATTCGCGAACAGAACGAAGCATATCGCTCTGCGATACTTCTTCGTGAAGGACGAGATCGAGAAAGGGAAACTCGAATTATCCTACTGTCCCACGTCCGAGATGGCAGCCGATTATTTGACCAAGAAACTCGGAAAACAGAAGTTCGAGTACTGCATGATGCTGACCGGACAAGGCCACGTCACCATCAGCGACACTCCAGAAGCGAAGGGGAGTGTTGGGAATAATAAGTCTTAAGCGCCTCTGTCGTGTCGAAACTCAGGACACTAGCGAAGCAGTCCGAATCGAAGCATCGCGAGTCAACCCTCGGAGGTTAGGGTAACCGCCTGGAGGTTACGAGAAGGTCAAAGGTCAGCGACCTTTGACTTGACAAATACAGCGCGACAGCAAGGACACACAACTGACTCGACATTGAGCAGTTGCCCGAGTCGCACTGTATCGAATCGCAACAGTAAAACGGTTTTAACTTATCTATTCGTATTCCTTGTACTCTTATATAAACCTCTGTATTTGCTTGTTTAATCAACTTACTTTGCCCTCACATACTAGCGCAAGGTGGTTCAAGTATTTTCATTCAAACGCTTCCGCTACTACAATTCTACTCAGACTTAAAACTCTACAAAGATCCTAGGGCACTTCAGCCCAACAGAGAAGACAGACGAACGGGTAACGGGAAAGAATCGAAAAATGAGTGCAGGAATACGCTTGAAAGGGCGTTTGCAAGAGAGGGTTGGAAATGGAGGGCCCCTCGAAACCCCAACGCCCCAACCCCAACCCCAGATGACGAAGCGCGCATGGCTGTGGAAATAATGGGTATCACCACTAGTTTCTGGTGCCACAGCAACGCGCTTCTAGAACCTTCTGTAGGCGCTGGAATCGAACATTTGTGGAGGTGGATCAATGTGTGCTGTAACACAGTGACCAATCCCTGACGACGAGACAGGCCACGTACGACAGTACTGGTCCCGCGTGGGCAAGTTTAGACGCATACCACCGTTGGTACAGCATATTCAATGTATGTGTACCTATGGCATGAGCATCTTTTTGCATTGTTGGCGAAGGCTACACGTGGGATGTCGGGCCGCGAGATGTATTCATGCAATCCGGTAATCAAGGGGGGACGCACCCCCACGCCTTGTTCACGTGTAAATGCCTAAGGGAAGAAATCAGGTACGAGACGAAACCGAAAAGTGTTTCTGATACAGATAAACATGGAAACCTTGTCTGATCCATCAGATAAATTAAAATTTTTTTCCTTTCCTATTAGATATTACAAAAAACATTTTTTTTTCCGTTCAGTTGAATTTCCCTGATCTGTTAGTGTAATGATTTTGGCTACACAGATGGCTTAGTGCAATGTTATCGTTACTGAGTTTCACACTGTAGGCGTTACTGAATCACAACACTGTAAGGAAAAACCCATTCGGCGTCACACTGTTAGCTGCTGCTGTTTGAATGCCCGTTCGAGCAGGTCAGGTTTGAATCACAGCACTCCATTCGGATTTTAGACGACCTATGGCCACGGCTGAAGAAAGTGACGTCGCAATGGCGCACGCATTGGCGACAGCCACGAACGACATTAGCGATCGTACCGAGATAGTAGCTGCACATGTCGCAGGCGACAAGCAAGTCGCAGAAGCCGCACAGGCCGTAGGCGACACTGTCGCTAGCGCCGTGCATCCCGCCGAGTTCGATAAGGAGCAATTCGATACTGTCATCCCGCTACAGGCCCTCGCCGTACCTGCTCGGCTGGCGCAACAGACCTCTCGCATCGTTCACGGGTGCGTCAGGACTCTGATTGGGGCTCATGGGCGACTGGGTCGCATGTGCGACTGGGTCGCATGGGCGACCGATTCGTATGAGCGACTGGAGTCGCAAGGGCGATTGCCAGTCACACGGGCGATCAAGGAACGTGAGCGTCGCAAAAGTCAGCACGTGCGGGTTGCGCGCGGGACGACTTGACGCACGAGGCTGGTAGCAAACCACTCGTCGCCACGTGCTTTCCCGCCCCTCTTCGGATGTCCCATTGCCAACTCGCTTCCCATTCCCCCCCTTCCTGCCCTTCGCTACAGTCATACCTTCGACCGCCCTCGCTTGCGTCACATCTTGCCTCACCCCAGCGACTCTTCTCTGCGCCTCGTGCTGCTGGATGACGTCATCAAGGAAGCCTCAACGGGTGGGTGCAACAGGGTCAGGGTTTAAGGTTTCGGGTTCGGGTCTAGGGTTGAGGTTGGGGATCGAACCAAGTATATGGTCCGCTCGAGCAAGCTGTAGAAATGCCGAGGTTTAGGTGTAGGCGAGGGTTCGGGGTTTTGTATGGAGGTGAGGCACGAGCGAGTGGGTTGCGAAGCACATGAGTGGTCAGGGAAGCGTTGCTGCATGTGGTACGACTGCAAAGTCCTCTGCACTCCTCCCACTGGCCTCTGGCAGCACGGACAGCACGTGAAGTTGAGCTGAGCTTCACACGATCTGCTTTGGGTCGACCCAACCCAACAGCCCACTCAAGCAGCATGTTAAGCGTCGCATAATCTCGTCCTCAGTGCCTCCACCCATTACCACTCACCAGATCTCCTGCCGTCCGTGCGGCAGCAGCTGCAGCAGGAGGGGCTGTTCCACGTCACCACGTACGAGCAGCGCCTTGACTACTCCTACTGGCCCGCAGGTCAGTTCACCAGCTCCATTTTCGCTTGTGGTGTTGTCTGTGTTCCTCATCTGTGCTTGTGCTTGTGCTCTTTATCTGTGTCTCCCTTGTTCCCAGTCGATCACACATTGTCCATGCCATGAGGTATTAACAGCGTTAGAGGCTTCTCACAAGAGGCAGGTTTATTCAGTACAGTCACGCTGTTGGCGCTCCACAAATATGCATCAGTCTAGGCTTGGTGAGATGTCTGTCTGCTTGTAGGGGTGTCAATCACTCCTTCGTTCCTCCGTTAGTTAGTTCACTCATGTGCTGTGCACGCTTGACCTGGTTGCACGCTTGACCTGGTTGCACGCTTGACCTGGTTGCACGCTTGACCTGGTTGCACGCTTGACCTGGTTGCTCACGCATGCCATCATTCTCTGCCAACACGCCTGCCATAACCCCAACCCCGTGTCACGTCATGTCACTCCCACCCACCCACCCACCCCTCCCGCATGTCCCTGCAGACCACGTGTTGCGCAAGCTGCTGCCGCCAGGGGTGGAGGTGCCCACGGCATTCGAGACTGTCGGTGAGCTCAGTTGCTCCACCCAACCACCCTGATTAGCCTCTATCGTGGGTGGGCATGGCACCACGAGGTGTACCATGAGGTGTGCCATGAGGTGTACTGTGCCATGAGGTGGGTACGATGGGTGCTACGTGTACAAGTGTACTATTACCATGTGTGCGTTGTTGGCCCAGCTCGTTACCTACCAAACCACTGGTTTGAAAGGGCATATATTTTTGTTGGGTTTAGGGCACACTGCAGAGAGGCAGATGACCACCATCTGTGTGGTCGCACCTCAATTCCTTCCGCAACCCACCGCCCTTGCCCACAACCCCCACTCCCCCTCCCCCTTCACTGGGGTGCTGATGGTGCGTACCTGCCGGAGGTGTGGGCGCATGCGACATCTGCAAAACAGCTGGGGTTTCTGCTGTTACTCATTTGGCAGCAGCAACGGTAGCTGAAGGCGCTGCCAAAGCAGCACACAAGGAGGCCGAAGCAGCAGCATTGGCGGTAGTAAAAGCACCAGTTTCAGCAATGGCAACAACATAACCAATCGCAACTTTAGCAGTAGCTGCAGCAGGCAAGGCAGCAGTAGCTGCTGAAGAAGCACAAATGGCATCAGCGTTGGCAACAGAGGCAGCAACACAACTGGCAGCCCAAGTACCTCCAAGCAAAACCAGTGGCAGCACCATCACCATAAAAAATGGGGAGGAAGGTAAACAAAATTGTTTGCTCCCTCTTAGTCTGCCTGTCTGCTTATTCAGTGGCTTCTTTTGTGAGTCTGTAGGCCTGCCTTCTCCTTTAGGTCACGCCACTATGATAACGCCACACCGTGATGTCACGCTTTGAGAACATGGCGTCACATTCCGGCGGTATCATAGTGGCGTGACCTAAAGAAGCAGGCATACCTACAGACTCACAAAACAAGCCATTGAACAAGCGGACACGCAGACTAAGTGGGAGCAAACAGATTTTCTTACCTTCCTCCCCACTGCTGATGGTGGTGGTGCTGCCAATGGTTTTTCTCGAACGTAATTGGGCTGCAAATTGGGTTGCTGCCTCTGTTGCCAACGCTGCTGCCATTTGTGTTCTTTAGTAACAACTGCTGCCTTGCCTGCTGCAGCTACTGCTAAACTTGCGATTGATTCTGCTGTTGCCATTGCAGCAGCTGGTGCTTTTACTGCCGCCAATGCTGCTGCTTCGGCCTCCTTTGTTAGAGACTAAGGACGGAGTCTATGAAGATTAGGAGCCAAAATATCTCAACATCGTTGCGCCTAGTTTCTGAACAGAAAAGTCGAGTTCACAAGAAACGCCGTCGACGAAACGTGCACAGTCAAAACTTCACTAAACTCATTTATGTTGTAGCCCTACTCCGTGGCTACAATTCCCAAGTTGAAACGTATCAAGAGGTGAAGTAAATCTCGATTGATCAATTTCGGCGCACAGGGGGGTATGTTGCCATAAGAACTTAGCTCAATCACAAAGTTCACACACAAGTTCACAATTACTACACAAGAGAGTTAGAGTAGCAATAAACCAGGTGGGAAAGGATGAGGAAGACAAGAGAGAAAGTCCCAAGAGAGTCCCCAACCAAGGAAATCCCATGCCACACAATTCTCTTCCCCATAGGCAACCCAACTTTGACCTTTGTCATTATCCCAACCTGCACAATCCACCTCAACCCAACTTGGCCACACTTGCCAACCTGGTTTGGTTTTTCCCAACATTTGGCAGCAACTACAGTAGAAAATACGAATTTCCCAACCCCCAAAAGTCTGTACCCAATATTGAGTCAACCCCACAACTTCCCATAGTCACCACAACCAAATATCAAAAGCATACGAACTCCAACGTTTGTAACTTTCTTGTTCGTGCTCCGATTGAAGCGATACTTGGTTCCTCGGAAAGCTCTTGAGCAGAGGAGTCACTTCAGATATCTGCTCAAGCCAAATAACATTCACACACACACACACTCAGAAAAACCAAACCGCACAAAACACAAATTCTTGCACACACTCACAACACGCATGCAACGCACGAACATATGATGGGAGGCAGACAGACGTGAATGCGAATGGTAGCATCACTCGACAAACTCCCCCTCTAGCTGCCAACCATCATCCCACATGCCATAGCTCAAGCATGCATCCTCAATGCACACTCATCCCAGCAAGCTTCATGCCCTTCCAATGCTCCGATTCAGCCAGGCGCTTGGTGAGAACGTCAGCCGCCTGCTGATGGGTCTTCACAATCTCCTGCTGCACCTCCTTGTCTAGGAGCCTCCTCACCCAGTGCCACTTAGGCCTGATGTGTTTGGTCAGCCCATGAAGACAAGCATTCTTCGCTAGCTTCACCGCCGACTCATTGTCATAGAAAATCACAGTCGGCTCCCTCTGACCAACTCCAATCTCCTCCAACAAACGCCTCAGCCACACCACCTCCTTTGCCCCATGATGCAGGGCCATGTACTCTGTCTCACACGAGGACTGCCCCACTTCATTCTGCTTCTTATTGCGCCAGCTCACTGCACCACCTCCGAACAGGCACACATAGCCTCCAATGCTGGTGCCATCCGCTTTCATCGAGTTGAAGCTAGCGTCAGTGTAGCAGGTCAGGAGCATCTCCCCCTTGCTCAAATCAGCTGCACCCCTCTGCAGCCTCTGCCTCACAACACTGTACTCCAAACCCACTGATGCCGTTGCACTCACATAGCAGACCAACCTCTTGGCCGCTTCCAGCTGCTCATGACTGGGGCGTGAAACCACACTTGCAAGCCTGGATGTTGCAAAGGCAATGTCAGGCCGTGTGTGGTTAGCCGCATAGTTGAGTGCCCCAGCCATGGAATGAAAAAGTTTTCTGTCACTCTCACCCACCACCTCCTCATCAGCACAGGGCTCCACAGTGAACCTCGAAAGCAGTGGGGTGGCTGGCTTTCCTCCATCTTGCAGCCCATACTTCTCAGCCAGCCCCTCACAATACTTTCTCTGGTGCAACCTCAACACTCCCTTGTCAAGGTCCCTCTCGACATGCATCCCCAAATAGTACTTCACATCTCCCATCTTGGAGCACTTCAACTGCATCTCCAGCATCTCCTCCATACGCTCAATCATTGCAGATGACTCAGAGAAGAGCAGGATGTCGTCTACATACACCAGGAGCATGAGAAACTGCTCCTTCTCTTGCAGCAGGAACAAGCTATGATCACACTCACTCTTCTTGAAACCCCCAGCCAGCAAAGTCTCCTCTAGCTTGTGGTACCATGCACGAGGAGCCTGCTTCAGGCCATAGATGGCCTTCTTCAGCCTGCACACCCTGCCGCTCCCATCATCCAAACCCTCAGGCTGTAACATGTACAGCTCCTCCAGAATGATCCCATTGAGGAAGGCGGTGGTGATGTCCATCTGCTTCACCCGCCATCCACGGTTTGCTGCCATTGCCAATGACACCCGCAGTGTTGTGACTTTCCCCACAGGAGCATATAGCTCGTTGAAGTCCTTTCCCTTTGTCTGCTGGAACCCCTTAGCCATAAGCCTCGACTTGTAGCAGGTCAGCGCCCCATCTGGTACGTACTTATGCGTGAAGATCAGCTTGGAAGAAATGGTCTTCTTCCCAGGAGGCAGCTCACACAGCTCCCACGTCTCATTCTCCTGCAGAGAGTCATACTCCTCCTTCACACTCTGCTTCCACTTCTCAGCGTCGAGCCCGCTCAATGCCTCGGCTAACGTCTTGGGCTCAGGGACGGCTGCCCAGTAGCAGTGTGCTATCTCATCCTCATCACACTGCTCAGCCACACTCCCAGCCCGTACCACCTTTGGCTTGCCAAAGCTCGGATAGGTCAGCCGGTTAGGAGAGCGCACATCCCTCCTAGGACGGTCAGCCGGACGCGCGGCACCTTGCTGCTGCGGCTGCTGCTGCTGCTGCTCCTCCACCTCAGGTTCTCCCCCATCCTCAGTCACCCCAGAGATCTCCTCCTCTAAGACAGTGACTTGCACTTGCCTTGAAGGCCGCTGCACCTCATCGGCCTCAATGATCAGCGGTGTAGTGGGAAGCTTCTGTTGTTGCTGCTTCCACTCCTTGTAGTACAAGGACACGAGGAACTTCACATCCCTCGACACAGTCAGCTGCTGGCTGGTCAAGTCCCAAATCAGCCAGCCCTTGTGATCCTTAGCAAGCCCCAAGTGCACACCCCAATTCCCAGAAGCTTCCAGTTTTCCCCTCTTCTCCTTAGGCACATGAAACACCACCATGCAGCCGAAGGCTCTCAGCATGTTGACTGCTGGTGCACTCCCATACCACTTGGTGTAGGGGACCCATTGCTTGTCCCCCACAATCGCCAGCACCCGGTTCTTCACAACAACGACCTGCCGCAGTGCTGTCACCCAAAACGGATCCGGCAGCCCTGCACGCCCAAGGAGAGTGCGAGCACCTTCCTGCAGGGTCCGGTTGAACCGCTCAGCCACGCCATTCTGCTGAGGGTTGTAAGGCACCGTGAGCTGATGCTGGATCCCCTTCCGCTTCAGCTCCTTCTCAAAATCAGCACCGATGAACTCTCCTCCGTTGTCAGTGCGGATCACCTTCACCTTGTGTCCGCTTTCCCTTTGTGCTCTCGGCATCCACTCCTTAAGAACAGCCGCTGCCACCTCCCCCTTAGTCATGAGAGGGTACACACACACCGCACGCGTGTGGTCGTCCACAATCGTCAAGAAGTAGCGGCTGCCCGAGAGAGAAAGGGCCCTCGTGGGGCCCACCACATCCATGTGCACTAGTGCAAGTGGTGCCTCGGCTGGTCCTGTGCTGCTGCTGAAGGGAAACTTCGTGAATTTGGTCTCAAGGCAGGTAGGGAAGCTCCCAATCTCCTTTGCTCCCCCCTTCACCTCCAGCCCCTTCAAGCACCCATCCTTTGCCAACTTCTGCAGCATAGGAATGTTCACATGGCACAACCTCTCATGCCACGTCTCCCAATCAGCCTCACCACTCCCAGATGAAGCCTTTGCCCATGCAGCTGTCGCATCCACACCAGCAAGCACCTCACCATGTGGCTGCTGTGGCTGCTGCACCTTCTTGACTGCATCCCAGGCCCCAGCAGTTGGTGCAGTCTCCTCTCCTCCCGCAGTTGCTTTAGCCGCTGCCGCTGCCTTTGCCGTTGCTGGTGGTTTCCCCTTCCAAGGGATGGTGGGCAGCTGCCACATGTCCTTGATGCAGCTGCTCTTCTCCTCCAAGTTCCACAGCAGCAACTTCCCAATCTTTGCACAGCAGCTTGTTGGGCCGAAGGTAACTTCAGCCTTGCTCTTCTGCAGCCGGCGCACAGAAAGAAGGTTAGCAGACAAACCTTCAACCAACAGCACATTCCCAAGCCCCACAAGCTCTCAATTGGGTCCCATCACCTTAGCATTCCCAACACCAATCACAGGGAGCAAAACACCTGAAGCGGCAGCCACAAACTTGATCTTCCCAGGAGGTTTTACCTCATCAAGCAAATCTGCCCGTGGGGTCATATGACTCGTGCAACCTGAATCGATCACCCAGTGAGTGAGGGGGTGCATCACAACCTTCCCAACTGAACCCACATCACCCCCACTCCCTTGCACATCCTCAACCATGAGGAACATCCCAAGGTCGGCTTTACCTTGTGCACCATCACCTTGTGCACCTGATCCTTGCACAGCGCCACCGCGTGCACGTTCACCACTTGGCGGCTTCATGCCTGGAGGGGCCCATCTCTCAAGCCGACTGAAACACTTGAACCACGGGTGTCCAGCCTTCTTGCAGTACCAGCACGCACCCTCTATTCGGGTGCTCCCCCTGCCACCAGAGCTCCCATGCCCCTCATTGTAGTCACCTTGGCCTCTCCCTCTGCCAAAGCCTCTCCCACGGCCTCGGCCTCTCCCACCCCCTCTTCCTCTGCTGCCTCCTGCAGCTCCATACCCCTCAGCAGTTTTGTTGGTAGCACCACCTCCCGTGTGGCGCCTGCAGAAGTCCTCTTGCAGAATCTGCTGCCGTGGCCACTCAGACGTCCATTTGTCCTGCTAAATGTTGAGGGTGGGGATGAGGTTGTCCCACGAGTTGTCGAGCACCGAGATGATCTTGGTGCACTGTTGCATCTGCGACACTTCGCTGCCCGCCGCTGCCATCCTTGCATAGGTGTCATTGATCTTGTCAAGGACTGGTTTCACATCATCTCCCGGTTTGATGGAGAGGCCAGCCAACTCCTTCTCCAACACAATCACCATCGGCAGCGTGTTGGGCTGAATCACGTCGCGTAGCAGCTTCCATGCCTTCGGTCCGGAATCATCCAACTCCACCAAATCCTTGATGTGCTGGAACATGTCGTTGTTGACCGATTGGAGGATGAGGTCGTACAGCACCGCGCTCTTCTCAATCCACCGATCGCGGGCATCTCCTTCCCCCGGCATCTTCTCCTCTCCCATTGCAATTTTCAGTAGTTTGTAGCGCTTGAAAGCGCTCCGCATCCGCCCGCTCCATTCCTCATAGTTGGAGCCATCCAAAGCTTCGATCTTAGATGGTGGCGGTTCACTCTTCTCAGCTACATCTCCACTCCCTTGATTCATCTCCTCTGCTCCCAATCAGAGGTTTCAGCTCCCTCTTTTGCTAGTCACAATGTAGATCCACACAATCTTCACAAGTGTCGGCGCCAACGAAATTTCGGCAGAGTTTCCCCTTAGCGGAAGTCATATCCAACCTCCAGAACTCCACTTAGGCACGCCCACAGGCCATGGTGGGTCTAGGAAGGTCTTCACACTTCAGAAGACTCTCCACAAAGTCCTTAATCAGCTCTAATACCACTTGTTAGAGAATAAGGACGGAGTCTATGAAGATTAGGAGCCAAAATATCTCAACATCGTTGGGCCTAGTTTCTGAACAGAAAAGTCGAGTTCACAAGAAACGCCGTCGACGAAACGTGCACAGTCAAAACTTCACTAAACTCATTTATGTTGTAGCCCTACTCCGTGGCTACAATTCTCAAGTTGAAACGTATCAAGAGGTGAAGTAAATCTCGACTTATCAATTTCGGCGCACAGGGGGGTATGCTGCCATAAGAACTTAACTCAATCACAAAGTTCACACACAAGTTCACAATTACTACACAAGAGAGTTAGAGTAGCAATAAACCAGGTGGGAGGGGATGAGGAGGACAAGAGGGAAGGTCCCAAGAGAGTCCCCAACCAAGGAAATCCCATGCCACACAATTCTCTTCCCCATAGGCAACCCAACTTTGACCTTTGTCATTATCCCAACCTGCACAATCCACCTCAACCCAACTTGGCCACACTTGCCAACCTGGTTTGGTTTTTCCCAACATTTGGCAGCAACTACAGTAGAAAATACGAATTTCCCAACCCCCAAAAGTCTGTACCCAATATTGAGTCAACCCCATAACTTCCCATAGTCACCACAACCAAATATCAAAAGCATACGAACTCCAACGTTTGTAACTTTCTTGTTCGTGCTCCGATTGAAGCGATACTTGGTTCCTCGGAAAGCTCTTGAGCAGTGGAGTCACTACAGATATCTGCTCAAGCCAAATAACATTCACACACACTCAGAAAAACCAAACCACATCAAACACAAATTCTTGCACACGCTCACACCACGCATGCAACGCACGAACATGTGACGGGAGGCAGACAGACGTGAATGCAAATGATAGCATCATATAACATCCTTGTGTGCTGCTTTGGCGGCACATTCAGCTACCTTTGCTGCTGCCAAATGAGTAACAACAGCAACCTCCAGTTCCCTTGGTCAGCTGTCGCACGCGCCCACGCCTCCGGCATATATTTTTGGTGGGTCTAGGGCCCATCCGTGTGGTCGCACCTCAATTCCTTCCGCAACCCACCGCCCTTGCCCACAACCCCCACTTTCCCTCCCCCCTCACTTCCATTCTGCACGGCAGGCCACATAGCGCATGTCAACCTGCGTGACGACCTGCTGCCCTACCGCTTCGTTATTGGGAAAGTGCTGCTGGAGGTGAGTGGTGCTGGAGGTGAGTGGTGCTGGAGGTGAGTCCATGGGGTACTTTCCCACTTCGCGAGTCCCACATTGTTTTCTCATGCAGTGAGGCCGGGGCCTAAAACACACGGATGGATAGGCATGTGCCTGGCTCATGAGCTCTTGGACTACACGTGCCATGCCTCTCCCTCCATGCCCATGCCTCACCCCCTTTTGCCCCTTGCATCCCAACCCCGCATGCTGCCCCACTCCTGGCAGAAGAACACCCCATTAATTCGAACGGTGGTGAACAAGAGCGGAATAATCGAAAACGAGTTTCGAGTGCCCACGCTCGAGCTCATCGCAGGCGAGGGCTCCTCCTCGCACCTCGAGACCTCCGTGAGGCAGCACGGCGCCACCTTCCACCTGGACTACGCGCGCGTGTACTGGAACTCGCGCCTGGAGCACGAGCACAAGCGCCTCGTGGACGCGTTCTTCAAGAGAGGCGACGTGGTGGTTGACATGTTTGCTGGGGTCGGGCCGTTTGCCGTGCCGGCTGCCAAGGCGGGGTGTGCTGTGCTTGCGAATGACTTGAATCCGGCGAGTGTGGAGTATTTGAGGAGGAATGTAAGGGTGAATGGGGTGGAGGGGCGGGTGAAGGCTTATAACGAGGATGCGCGGGTGTTTGTGCGAGGGGTTCTGAAGCTGCCGGAACAGGAGGGAGTTGAAATGGTGGCGAGAGGGGTGGAAGGCTTTTTGGATGACGGGAAGGCAGGGGAGAAGGTAGGTGATGGGGAGGCGGGAGGGAAGGGGCAGTTGCAGCAGGAAGAGGGGGAGAATGGGGAGAGAGAGCAGCAAAGAGCAGCAGCAAGGGGGGTAAAGAGAGAAAGAGGCGAGCAGGGGGAAGGGGAGGGTATGGAAGTGGAGGGTGTAGAGGGGGAGCAGAGAGTGGCATTGGGGAGTGCAAGTGCGGGGCCATGGGAGGCAGAGGCTGGGAGGGAAGCGGCTGAAGGGGTGACAGGGAGCGCAGGACAGGTGGCGAGAGAAGTGGGAGAGAAGGATGGTGAGGGAAGGGAGGTTTCTGGAGGCGATGGGGGTTGCGCGACAGCCGGCAGCCGAGATGGAAGCGAGGAGGGAGTGGGGCGAGGGGCGGGCGAGGGAATGCAGGGAGCGAACACGCAGGAGGGGAAAGCGGAGGGGGTGGCAGGAGGGAAGCAGGAGGAGCAGAAAGGGGGAAGGACAGGGAGAAAAGGCAAAGGGAAGAAGAAGGGAGGGAAGGGCGAGAGCAAGGACGGGGAGGGCATTGATGTGGCATCAGTGGCGCCGTGGAGGCATGTGGACCACGTGGTCATGAACCTGCCTGCTTCTGCCATCACCTTCCTGGGTACGTCCGTGTCTGTCTGGGTCCGTTTGGGTTCCACCATTGCGTTCCCCTCCCATGCCCGCCTGGCAGTGTGTGGTGAGCAATGGTAAGCCATCGCCCTTTGACCACAACATCGCCCTTTGACCACAACATCGCCCTTTGACCACAACATCGCCCTGTGACCACAACATCGCCCTTTGACCACAACATCGCCCTTTGACCACAACATCGCCCTGTGACCACAACATCGCCCTGTGACCACAACATCGCCCTTTGACCACAACATCGCCCTTTGACCACAACATCGCCCTGTGACCACAACATCGCCCTTTGACCACAACATCGCCCTGTGACCACAACATCGCCCTTTGACCACAACATCGCCCTTTGACCACAACATCGCCCTGTGACCACAACATCGCCCTGTGACCACAACATCGCCCTTTGACCACAGCATCGCCCTGTGACCACAACATCGCCCTTTGACCACAACATCGCCCTTTGACCACAACATCGCCCTTTGACCACAACATCGCTCTTTGACCACAACATCGCCCTTTGACCACAACATCGCCCTGTGACCACAACATCGCCCTTTGACCACAACATCGCCCTGTGACCACAACATCGCCCCGTGACCACAACATCGCCCTTTCACCACAACATCGCCCTTTCACCACAACATCGCCCTTTGACCACAACATCGCCCTTTGACCACATCATCGCCCTGTGACCACAACATCGCCCTTTGACCACAACATCGCCCTGTGACCACAACATCGCCCTGTGACCACAACATCGCCCTTTGACCACAACATCGCCCTTTGACACAACATCGCCCTTTGACCACAACATCGCCCTTTGACCACAACATGCACATCTCATTCCACCACGCTCTCTTGCCCCTCGCCCCCCCACAGCTACATACCGTTCATCCCACCATTCCTCCCCGAAGGCACCTTATTGAACGCCCCTCTTTCCAAACCGATCCCTTACCCACTCCACTCCCCCACGTGACCCCGCCCCGCTGCCCACCCCCCCATCCCGCCAACCACTCCCTCTTCTCAGACTCCTTCCGCGGCGCTTTCTCCCGCGCCCACTGGGAGGGCCCCCTGCCGCTCGTGCACACCTACTGCTTCCACCGCTCCGGCCACCCTGCTGAGGCCGTCATGCAGGTGGGGGGGAGGAGGCAGCCCTAGCGTCCCGCTGCATGCCAGTGTAAAAGCAGAGTGCCTGTCCTCCCTGTCTCCCATGCTCCCATGTAGCCTGGGGGTACCGCTGGGTGGGCTGTGCCGTAGGGTGTGAGTCCCTGCCGGCCTCTTGCCTCGCTCTGCCCCATCCATCCTTGCCATGCTTTGAGCCTCATCAACTTACCCTCAACTTGTGTTGTGCTTGCTCAATGAGCGTTGGCCTCTTCTGCTGCTTAATAGCGCGCTCGGAGGAACCGGCCCCCCATAAGCATGCACTGTTTCTGTGTGTTCCCTTACCTCTCTCACAATCGGCTCAAAGAAACTGTTCCCCATGCCTGCACTGCACGGGTCCCCCATCCGTGCCTTATCTCTGCTTGTCTCCACTGCTTGCCTGCGCTGCTTATCCCTCATGCCTGCGCTGCTTATCCCTCATGCCTGCGCTGCTTATCCCTCATGCCTGCACTGCTTATCCCTCATGCCTGCACTGCTTATCCCTCATGCCTGCACTGCTTATCCCTCATGCCTGCACTGCTTATCCCTCATGCCTGCACTGCTTATCCCTCATCCCTGCACTGCTTATCCCTCATGCCTGCACTGCTATTCCCTCATGCCTGCACTGCTGATCCCTCATGCCTGCACAGCTTATCACTCATGCCTGCACTGCTTGTCACTCATGCCTGCACTGCTTATCCGTCATGGCTGCACTGCTATTCCCTCATGCCTGCACTGCTGATCCCTCATGCCTGCACAGCTTATCACTCATGCCTGCACTGCGTGTCACTCATGCCTGCACTGCTTATCCGTCATGGCTGCACTGCTATTCCCTCATGCCTGCACTGCTGATCCCTCATGCCTGCACAGCTTATCACTCATGCCTGCACTGCTTATCACTCATGCCTGCACTGCTTATCCCTCATGCTTGCACTGCTTATCACTCATGCCTGCACTGCTTGTGTGGGAGAGCAAGAGGTGGAGCGGCACCTGGGCGCTGCAGTGGGCGCGAGGTGTCGTTTAAGTCGACTCAAACGTCACCATGCATGCCTGCACATTGGGTCGAGTCCCCCATGCTTGCAATTGCGATTGGTCTCTGTTGCTTGCTTGCTTGCCTGTGAGCAGGAGGTGGAGCGGCACCTGGGCACTGCAGTGGATGCTGCCACTTTGTCCATCCACCCTGTTAGGAACGTGGCGCCCAATAAGGTGGGGCCACGTGGTGCTGCTTTCAGCACCTTGGTGTGATGGGGGTGTGCTATGGTCTCTTGAAATTCTGTGCCAGAGGGTTTTGCTGTGCAAATGAATGCGGCTCTAGGCATCTGCAATCCCGCGTGGCTGTTCTATTAGTGCTACCATGGCAGCCGAGACGCACTCCACTTGCGTCTCGTCTAGGTGATAACGAAGACGCACCTAATTTGTTTCCTCCTCTCCACTCTCCCCTGCCTTACAGGACATGCTGTGTGTGTCGTTTCGGCTGCCAGAATCAGTTGCATTTGCAGCCTCGTAGAAATTGCATGAAGGAAGGTTTGCCATCATGCCACGTCAAACAACGAGATTCATGTAGGCAGCACTTGCAACAATTTGTACTGGTTACGATACAAAAACATCAAATAAGAAAATTACCTGATAGAACTTCACACTACCTTACATTCTAAACACAATGTGTGTTTTTTCCCCCCTAAATTACGTATTTCAAAAGCGCAGCTGTTTGTAACTGCAAGGAATTTTTCAGCATTCCTTAATGCGCACCTCAACATCAGGGCAAAGTTAATCACCGTAAATCACCCTGATACCTTGATTATCAAGGTGAATTATGGGGGTCACACTGTCGGCCTATGGTTTTTTTTTGGGGGGATTACCGTAGGTTTTTCCTGACCTGACAGGGCTTCTATTTAGTCACACTTTGGCCTTATTGTAATCATTTGTTATAATAGGCTTACCCTGAAGCGAGCATAAGGCATCTTTCCCCACCCCCTCCCTCCCACCCCCCGCCCCAACCCTCCTCCCAGGCCTCTGGTTAACAGGGTGATTCACCCTTATGACCCTTACTATAAGGCTGGGTTTGACTAAGCACCCTTTTTTTTCAAAGTGGTCATTATATTAACCCTTACAAGAAAAAGGGTTTGGTTGTACTACACTGATATTTCAGAGTGATGTGGTGTAGTGACACTGATGATATTGAGTTAGATCTAACAGAGCATGGTAAGATACTCGCGAAAAATGCTACTCTCATCAGATTTACCCCTCTCAGGTGTCGAGCTTGAGTCGTCTACACAAAAGTCGTCTATGCCCCTCACTGCACAACCAACTGCTCGACAGTACTCGAAGATTAAAGTATTATTATTATGTTTCCACCCTTACTAGAAAGAGTCGTTTTTGTGATGCACCCTTACAGAAAAAGTGAAGGCGGGGAGTTGGCCTTACGTGAAAGAGTAGCTCAAAACCTAACCAGAGGCCTGCGTCCTCCCCCTCAACCCCCATTACCTGGGTTCCTC